TGTGAGGACATCTGTAAGAATGCATGTCAAACTATGTATCTGAATCTGCACATCTAAGTCGACAGACTGTCTACGCTTTAGGAAACATATCTACCAGGTTTACAGGGATGGATGTGAGATGTCTCATGCGAAGGATGGAGTTGAATGGAAGACTTTCATGGAATGTACAAACCTCTGGCCTGTTTGTTTTCAACACATTTTCTCCACTCAAAAACTATTATCTGGTTAATTTCAATCACCCCCAACGCAAAAGGCTATAAGGAAAGTTTGCGCTCAAGATTGAACTTGCTTCTGACTTTCAAAAGTAGTGTTGCTCTCTGAGAACAAGAAGCATTTAAGATCTCTATAGGATTCACAAAATAGACCCATCAGCCTCAAGTGGATGACATCTGTCTAGGCAAGGTCATTCCTTACACTTTAATCATCATCCTGGTATTGTGTAAGCATCCTAAATGTCCAGATTCTGGAACGTTGTGAATCAAATCCATTTGAAAAGGCGAATTTCCCTTCCTCCACAGATGGGAGAGAGACCAATCACTGAGGGAAAATAGGATGGAGAATCCGTGTTTAAAGTCGGTGTTATTAACTTACGAGATTTATGCAACAAACTGGGATACTCCTTCCTCCACTGACAAGGGCTCTGTGGCCTTATCTTTCTACTAGAATTTCCTGCTGTTTCAGGGACGGCTTGGTCTACCTGAAGGGTACACAAAGATTAACCTAGCCAGTCTTGCTAGGTTAGTATCAGAAAGTTGTAGACATCCCAGTTCCATCTTTGCTACTCTACCATCTCCCATTCACTCTTCCAGGAAGGCTAATGAGTCGCAATCACACAGTCGTAGCAGCAACAATCACAAAGAGGCCACTCTGACCTGTTAGGAATCTTGGGGGCGATTTTCAAACCCCAAAGCTGTGTCTGGGGCTTTGCCACATGCTTTTCTTCTCATTTCCTTCACGTTTTAATGTGCTCTGAGGTTCTCCAACAACATTGGGACCCAACCTGTTCTTACATTTAAAACACAACAAACAAACACAAAAACAATGAAATGATACAACCCTTTGAAGATCCACATCGCCATGAGGGTGTTCTCTTGTGACACTCGGCTAATGGTAGCCACCAGACCAGCCTAGAATTCTACCAACGTTTTGGAAAAGGAGAGTATTTCTTGCTGTACTCAGGTGGAGGTTACCTATTTTAAATCTGTTCAACTTAATTAATGTTCCTAATTTTGATTTTGTTTTACCTTGAAACAAAAATGAGGTTTCATTTCCCAAGCCTACAGTGGCCAAGAGCCGGAAGGCCAAGATGAGCTATAGGTGCTACCCTATCTGATCCCTGTCAGAGCAAGCCAGCATCATCACTTCCTGTCCTCTGTGGCTCCGTCTTGCCTGCACCTTTCTATGGGACAATAGGACATTCTGTTGTTTTCTGGAAAGGCCTTGAAATGTTGTTTTAATGGCTGCTATTTTACTGAAAAAAATAAATGTATTGGTTCTATTTTATTTGTGGATTACTGGAATGAAAGAATTGTATTCCCAGTACAAAAAATCATATTGAAAAAAGCCTATTTACCTAAGGGAGTAAAGGGGAGAAAAAGATTCTTCGTTTGAGAGCTGAGAAGCATTTGGGTTTCAGTTACCTGCAGAATGTGAAATTTGGTAGTGACTTGTCCCTTCACTGCATCCCTTTCCTCCTTGATGGTGGAGGGATGCCTAGCACTTTTCTTGGATTAAAAAAAGTGGGGGGGGGGTCCTTAAACGATAGCCAAGTCTATCAAGTCGTTTTCTCTGCATTCTGATGCTAAAGTAAAATGCAAAGGCTTCAGCAAACTCACTGGATCAAATTCCGCGATCTTTCATTCTGGCAAACGTTTTCTTTCCATTTTTAAAAGTTCATTTTAATTTTGCTAGGCTTAACAAGTTTGATCCATGCTTACATAGAGACATACGTGTTTATACATGTATGTAGTTCCTTTTGAAAAAACTAAACCAAAACCAAGCAAGCACTTCCCTTTGGTATGACATCATCTGGTCGCAGAGGTTGACCAAAGTGCTGTCTTGTTTATATTCAACCAGCTCTCTGGACCTCAGGAGTAAGAAGGGTGTGCATGACAGTGCCTGCCTGGGCCAAGGTTCAAAGGCCAGGTCCCAGAGGCAGCCTCTTTGGGTTGAGAGATCTTCAGAGGATGTCAGAGATCCACATGCTGAGATGAACGTGTCAGTCTGAGAATCACAAACGGAGCTCAGTGGGCTCACTTTTTCAATCCAACCCGAGAAGCACCATCCTTTCCATTGGCCACAAGCCATAGAGACACAGAAGAAACGCCCACTGGGAACCAACAGGGGGACCCTTCCCTGGTTAGAAATGCTCTTGCTTGGGTTTTCGGACAAAGGCTACCTAGACCTAAGCTTAAGCAAGGGCTAAGGGGGACACAAAGGAAAAGTCAAGGAATGACAAAGAGATGGAAAGCCAAATCCCCTTATTGGGGCACAGCTCCTTGGTTGCTGCTCCTCAAAGGAAGGCCCACATGGTGGGAGTGAGGAGGAGGTACAACAGGCAATGGGGCTCTCTAGGAGGGGGGTGCTCAGGAGCTCCAGCACTCTCCCCAAACCCTGCTTTGCGTTTTCTCCCCAGTGGCACCAGCTGTGGTTGTACACAGGTTTGTCGATATGATTTGGTAAATACCACCCTGAGGAAACCTGATCGACCCATTGCAACCGGAGCTGAACTTCCCCTTTGTGGATTGACGCACCGAGGGGAAGGCGGGGGTGGGGGGCGAGGGGTGGGATCTGGACCACCTTGGTGGGACAGACTATGAACTAGCCTCAACTCCAGTAGGTGGTAAGAAGCCAGTGAGACTGCTGAGCCTCTCCAGCAGTTGCCGGAGATGACTCTCTCACTGCCGGGGGCCCAACTCTGGGCTGGGTCTAATGGACGGGCCTCCCTCATCACCTTGATCGTGGGTGAGGCATAGACGATAGAGGGCTCCCAATACAAATAAAACTCATTTGATCCATGGGTCCATTTATCAGCAAGCAAGATGCCAACATGCCAGAGCTTGACTTCCGACCTGCCCCAATCATTTGCACAGAGAATTGAACGCTCCAAATCCTTCCCAGCGGTGAAGTGATCCCGGAATGAGATGGGGAATGAGCAGAAACACTTGACAAAAACATGACATGGGCCTGGACAGCATGATGTGGAGTTATCACCAATGTTAAGATGAATCTATATAGGTATTCATATATTATATATATCTCTTTCTTTAGAAATGCAACTTTACAGCGGAATTTTAAAAAGCTAATAGAAAAGTAGAAACGGTTGATGAATTTTTTACATGTCTTCCCTCCCCCCTCCCCTAAATGAAGCCCTATTAGGGTATAGAAATCACATGGAGATGAGGCTGTAAATTCCTCTACAAACTCTTTGGTTCGGTGGCTAGGGGAGGATGGGCCACTAAGACCCCCCTACCCCAGACCTTTAATCCCCTTCCCTCTCCTGATGGTAAAACTCTGAACGTAGAAGGAACCAAGTCTAAGGGTTAGGAAAAAACAAAACCAACAACATTCAAGTGGCAATATTATTCCCACACTCGGCTGAGCAGCGAGGAGAGAATTATTCCGTATCCCAACATCTCCAACTTGGAGCCCATGGATCTTGGAGAGAGCTTCCATGTGGGGCAGAAAGCCATAACACAGAATTAAAGGGAAACAATACAATCAAATAAATGACCCTTTTCCTTGTGTGGCTCAGAGAAACAAAATTGATTACCTTCACACAGATCAATGGCGCTATTAGTATGTTAGCCAGGCAAGAGGCGATCATGAACTTGAACAAAAGGAAGCAGGAGTGAGAAATCCTCATCTTTGGTATTGTAGCTGTTGAGGTTTCCGTTGCTCTGTCCCGTGTTCTTTTGAGAAAACTGCATAGGCACAAATGAAAAACAATCTTCCATTTTCAGAGTACCACGTGAGTTGTCCGATGAGGCAACAACCACGAAGCTTTCCCTAATCTTGTCTCAACCCTTTCTCTCTTTAAAATCTGCTTCCAAAACATGTCCCAAGAGGTCTGTTGGAACACAGCGCGTGTCTCACGGCTTTGGGTTTGGTTTTCTTCACTCGATTATTATTTATTTTGCTTTGTTTCGTGTCTCCGGCGTGCTTCCTTCTTGGTGGCGATGCTACGGCTTTCCTTATCATTTCTTTCTTTCGTTTGTATGGGACAGTTTGGTTTGTTGCAGAAGTAGGTGCAGAAAAAGTTTCTTTGGTTTCAATTAAGTAATTCATAAAAAAGAGTCGGTCTCAAGTGTCTGTAAAGCAACATTGCAGCTTTTTGGCTTGCTTAGAACACCCCAGGGGTGTCTGCCTGGGGCCGTTCACTGGTAAATATGCACATCGGGACCTTTGCCATCTCCCTGTGTCCTGTGGGCTCTTCCATTCACTGGGGGAGGGAGTAGGGGGAAGCCAGGAACCAGAGCTGGCGGCAAGGCCCCTCTCTGGGTGACAATGGCAAACGTCCGGCCGGCCTCTGGGTACCTGTCGCTTGGCCCAGCGGCGAGCCAGATGCAAAGGCTGGATGCCCTTTGGAGTTGCCGAGTCTTTGTTTTTGATTTCTAAAAGCAATCACAGTATTTTTAGGCTAGAAAATGGCGAGTAAGAAGTGTCTTTGGTAGGCAGGCAGGATCCTGCGTCTTTGGTGTGCTGTGTTTTCTCCGGGTTGACTCTGCACTGCCACCGGGATGCCTCCACTGGGGACAGGATTGAGGACCAGGTGGCCGGTCGTGATGAGTAACACGTACGGTGGCTTTTTTTTTTGGGGGGGGGGGTACTTTTTTTTCTGGCTACAAAACACTGAAAACATCCCTACCCGTGGGATGGAGGAGCGACCACCCAGATGGTTGGAAGGATGAAGATGCCCCGTGGGGGGGGGGGGGCCCTCATGCACAGGAGGAAGAACCAGACGACGGCGACGATGAGTAACCGAGAAGGGTACAGAAGGATCTAAAAAGAATCTAGATCTTTCACAACGCTGCACTGGCTCTGTGTACCGTCGCAGCTGAGCCGGCCTCCTGAGTGGTGCGTCTGCATGATGCACAAACACGGGATTTGTAGCAAACTGCAAAAATGTGCTTGAAGCCATATTCCTCACGAGTCCCTGTATGGCTTCGCAATCCAGCAGCGGCCCCCTGGAGATGCAGACGTGGGGACCCCAGCGTCGCTGCCGCTTCTGTCTGTCTTCCTTGTGCTTGATACATTACGCTCAAGTGAACCGATCTGGTGGTTTTTGCTGTTTTGTTTAATTTTTTTTTTTTTGGCAGATCCGAGACCACATGAGATATCCAGGAGTTAAGGAACAGGACGTCGTAAAGCTGGATCAACCTAAAAGCTCTGCAAACCATTCAATGAAAAGATGCCTGAGTTGGAAGAACAGGTCCTTGGGTTTGGGGTAGGATGGGGGTGTGTGTGTTATTTTTAGCTTCCATTTTAAAAATTTGTGCTCAGGAATTATCATTTGATAGTTGTGTGTGGTTATGGCTGTGAGCATGGGTGGGTTGGGGTATGACGGTGCTAAGCACAGGGAAAGCAAATGAAGTCATTCTTGCTGCTAGATTCTTCTCTTACTATATACCGACTCAGAATCCATACACTGGTCAAGCCTTCACTGCCACTTATGGGAATTCTGATGGCAAGAGGTGGACCAGACTCAGACTGGGACTGCTGACCTGGTAAGCAATCCTGAGTTTGGTTGACATCAGTTTGGTTGGTGCAGCTCCCTACAAAAAGGCCCCATTTGGCTTTCTGGAATGCTTAGCATGCTCAGAGGACAGTGTCTGGTTCAGAGATTACTTTTCAGCCTGCACTTGGACTCCATCGCCATGAAAACCAACAACCAAAGAAGAACACCTGGCCTATGATTACAGCGAGAACAGAAGCTTCTGGGTACGAGAATTGTGCTTTCCAATCACCAGTGAAGGGCCCCAGCTAAGAAGCCGGTGTTGTGGTTTCCTCTGCGCTTCCGTTTGGGATCTGGCGTCCTCACTCGGAGGCGGCTTGTGCCCGACGGGAGTTGCCCCATCACGCTTTGGTGCAAGTGCTGGAGGTGGCGGAGGAGCCGCCTGCGCTCAGGTCATCCTGCCACTTCTCCAGGCTGCGGCGCCGGGCGTTCATGAAGAAGTTGCTGACGGTGGTGAGCTCCAGGCCGAGCTGCTGGGAAATGGTGATCTGCATTTCTTTGGACGGGCGCTTGTTTTCCTTGAAGATGGCAAAGAGGGTTCGGCGTTGGAGGTCGGTGAAGACCAGGCGGGACTTCTTCTGGGAATTGTTCCGGTCTTTGTTTGGTTCTTGCTCTTTGCGTTTGCATGCTTGAAGGGAGAGAGCAGAAAGCAGTGTCAATGTCAAGTGTGAGAGCCGACGCCTGAGACGGTGACCCCTGGGCAACATGGACAGAGGCGTCCCAGGGAATGGAGACTGTTAGACTTTATGGTGCAAATTGCCCAGGTGTCAATACCTGGCAACTTCCCAGTGCGTCTCCTGGTGATGGCGGGCATCCAATGGAGCAGGGAGGGCGGGGAGGGGAAAAGGGGCCCGTTGGACAGCATCTGCTTGTGAACCACTACAGTTGACTCTCTCTCTTTCTCTCTCCCCCTCATACCCCCCACTACACACTGTTAGGATTCTTTATCTCTGAAACCAGGTGCTGTGGAGGGAGACAGGACCCCAGGTGCCCAAGGAGACATCTGGTGAGGCATCTCCTCTTTCATTCACCCTCTAGAATTGTTTACCATTGAGCTGAAATTAGACCAGTTTGCGTAAACCAAAATGACTCATGTCCTACTCTGTAGGACGGAGTAGAGTCACCTCAAAAGGTTTTCAAAGCTGTCATCTTTCAGGAAGCAGACTACCTCCTCTGTCTTCTGTGGAGCAGCTGGTGGGTTCGAACTGCCCACCTGTGGGTTAGCAGCCAAGTGCTTAACTTTCTGGGCCACCCGAGCTCCTTTTGAAAGTACCTACTTTTTCAAAATCAAAGCTTCCACCCATGTGACCCTAACAAAAGGGACCCATCAACAGAATGAAACTTGAAGTGACAGAGTGATGGTGTCATCCGAACCCAAATCCTCTTCTTGGGGGTGGGAGAATGCGGGGTGCGTGGGGGTAGAGAAAGACTATTTGAGGGATGCTTGAAACCCGTTGCCCTCTAGTGGATGCCAACTCACAGTGACCCGAGAAGAACAGAACTGGCCCGTGGGGTTCCCACGGCTGCACATCTTCTGGAAGCAGACTGCCGTATCGTTCTCCCACGGAGTGGCTGGGGGATTCAAACTGCTGGCGTTTCAGCTCCCAACCCAGTGCTTAATGCATTGCACCATCAGGGTTCAGCTCGGTTTGGAGCCTCCCTTCCCTCATGCTGTGTTTATGAACCCATGCACACCCACACACCCATATAAATGTTCTTTGCCATAGGGCCAGTTCACCTCAGCAACCCTACAGGACAGAGCGGAGCTGCCCCCCTGGGTTTCTCAGGCTGTGATCTTTACGGAAGGAGAGTGGCATCCCTGTCTCCCACGGACTAGCTGCTGGGGGGGGAGTGGCTGACCTTCCTGTTTGCAGCCGAGCACCTTAACCACGGTACCAACAGGACTCCTTCTACCTAGACCGGGGGCTTCCAAAGGCCCATGACCCATTTCCATGAGCTTTTCAATCCATTTCTTCATAAGCCTTTTGGAGGACCCTCAACCCCCTACAACAAAACCGCTGCATGGAGTGGATGCTGACTCGTTGGCAGAGCAGAACTGCTCCTGGCAGAAGCGTCCCCCAGCCTGTCAATCTGTGCAGAAGCCTCTTCCATCATCTTTCTCCTCAGGCAGTGGCGGGTGGGTTCAGTGACGGCTAGAGATAAGTGTGCTCAGTCATACTCTTGACTCAGTCTTGCCAGAGTGTCTTCAGTTTTGGGGGAAAAAAAGGTGGGGGCATACTCTTTGTAATCGCGGGAAAACACTCGTTGGGGGTCAGGGCTAGTAAGACATTTTCAGCAAGACTCAAGTGGCCCACTTCCCAAAGTGCTGAAGCTCTGCACTAGGTCTCCAGCAGGAACGCGCCCGGCGTGGCAGGGGGGTTCTCAGCCGGCTCCTGCATTTCCAGGAAGCTGGAGAAGACCTTGGAGATGAAGTCAAGGTGAAGCGGGGAGATCAGAAGGCTGCGGGGATTTTATATGGTGACTGGGTTTTGTTCTTCCGAAGGGGTCCTCTTGGTAGATTTTCTCAAAGGACACAGGACAGTCCTGGGGGGTTATTAGAAAGCAGTTTCCAAGAAGCTTTGTTGCTGAGGAAAAGGCCGGGCAAGTTGGACAAAGGGCTCTTTCTTCTCCCCATCATGGCACAGCACCTGCCCCGTCCTCCAGGTGAGCATGGGCTGTGCTCTGAGAAGTTCACTGGGAAACCTGCCCCCATCCTCCCCACAACCCCACCTTGTCCTGTCAGACTTCTTTTTGTTCTCCAAACCCAAAGGACATGGAAAGGGCCCATGAGCTCTGCCCTCAAAGCTGCCCCTCTGATGTGGCATCCATCAGGGAGGGCAGAATTCGGGGGTCGGGGGGTGGGGGGTGGTTTATAGCTTAGAGAAGCCTATAGACCTTGCTGAAGAACAGGTTGAGAAGCAATAGGCTCACACGGTGGTCTTTCTGTTTTATGAAGGTGTCTATGATTTTTCAGCAGGATCTTTGGACTCGCCTTGGGATGCCTCCATTTCTTGGAAAATGCTGAGTCGCTCCCTCTAGGAATGTGGTGGTGATGTGACAGCCCCATGTTGGCAGCCTCGGCGGCCCCTCAGAGTCTGCTGCTTGGAAGGTGTGCATTTTGCTCAGGCTCCCTGAGATCACTCAGCTCGGTCCCTTTGCCTCCTTCCTCTGGGAGGAAAGCAGGG